GTGCAAGCGCTTTAGTATATCCATTAACATTACTGGTAAATCAATCTTTTGAAGAAGGCGTCTTCCCAGATATTCTAAAAAGCTCACTCGTGAAACCCATTTATAAAAAAGGTATACAAACGGACCCAGACAACTATCGACCTATTGCCTTACTACCCACAGCTTCCTAAATATTTGAGAAAGCATTATACGATCGTATCTATAAATTCTGTGAAAAATATAATATCTTTAGTGAAAGTCAAAACGGTTTCCGTAAAAACAAATCAACAGTTTTAGCAATTTACAATTACATTCAAAAAATACATGATATAATTAACGATAAAAAATATGCTATAGGAATACTACTAGACATGTCAAAAGCATACGATACAGTGCAATATAACATATTACTAAATAAATTATATGACATAGGAATCAGAGGCCCGTGCTACAATTTGTTAAAATCATATTTGCACAATAGAACGCAAATAGTAGAAATAGAGTATTTCAATGATAAATTACACAAAATTGAAAAAATTAGATCCGATACTAAAACTATTAAAGCCTCATTACCTCAAGGCAGCGTGCTGGGGTGTCTTATGTTTTTAATTTACATTAATGACTTTGCAGAAACCCTGAACGAACAGTGCGTCATGTTCGCGGACGATATTTCTATTCTTATATCAAGCCAAAGTCCACTAAATCTAACAGAAAAAATTAACAGCATATTATTCAAAACAACGGACTGGCTAACTAAACATAACCTGCGGATAAACTTATCAAAAACTAAAATAATGTCTTTTCACCCATATCAAAAACAAAATTAGATATAAAATTAGATAATGACGGCTTCACTATAGATACTGTTAACGAGCACACACTACTAGGCCTAATAATAGATACCCATATTACTTGGAAACCACACATAGAAAAATTATATAGAAAGTTAAGCAGTTTTATGTACGCATTACGAGAAGTAAAAAAAACAACAGATATAACCACCGCGATAACAACCTACTACGCGTATGCACATGCATGGCTCAGCTACGGCATTGTCCTATGGGGAGGCAGTACTGATGCCCCAAGTTTATTAACTAAACAAAAAAAACTAATACGAATCATAGCTAATATACAAAACACAGAAAGCTGTAAGCCTTACTTCAAGAAGTATAACATTTTAAGCCTGCCCTCTATCTATATTTTGGAACTATGCAAATTCGTCAAAAAAAATCCAAGTTTCTACACAAAACGAGATGACATCATGTCTAGGAATCTAAGACAGAGAAACAAACTAGTGCTGCCAATTTCAAAACTAAAATCTCATTCTTCCAGCCCATTCGCCATGTCTATAAAAATATATAATAAATTACCCGAATATATAAAAAGCATTAAGGACGAAAAACAATTCGTAAAAAAATTAAAGCAACTGCTTACAAATAAGTGTTACTATAATACTTCTGAATTTTTAGATGATAAAAATATAATATAATATAGATATGTAAATAAAAATATGTTAGGTAATAATGAAATGCCATCCTACTAAATAAATTACAATAAAAAATTCAAATAAAATTTAAAATGATACAAATAATTTAATAAAAATTCAACTGTGCTAATTACACCAATTATAATTTATTTATTTATTTATTTATTTAGAAAACCAACAGCGTATATAGAAAATATTAACATTAATGTAACAAACTAAAAGTATGGCCAATAACAGGTTTCCCTTATATTGTTTGATGGTAGGTGTATTGTTGTTAGAAGAAAAGGAAAAAGAACAATCTAATAGATAAATTATAAGCAAAATTATAAGTAATTCAATGTAATGAAGGTGGTCATAAGTTTACAGATCAGGAGAGATAGTCAGGTAGAATGATATATTAGATTACCTTTATATATATATATAAATATATATATATACATACATATATATTTACTTATGTATATATACATATTAAATGTTTAAATATATAAACATAATACAAATAATTAATTATAATATATATTAAATAAAATAACTTAAGTACTTATATTTATATTAGTAGCCTCAAAAATACATATAGAAGAAATAGATGAGAGAATATATGAATGTATGTGAATTTAACTTCAACTGCTCTATAATAATAATAATACTAATAATACCTTAAATGTCAAAATCAATTCATTAATAAATTATAACAATTAAAATAACCGTATTTAAAATTCATTGTGTGTATGTTTAAATAATAGAATAAATGTTAATATTAAATAATTATTTAAAAATAGCAATAATTATAATAATAAATGTTCCTCCTTCATAATATTGCTGTGCCCATCAGGGCCCATGGAGATACCATAAAACTATGTAACACCTTTTGTAACCTATGGAATGCAATAAAGTTATTGAGTATTGAGTATTGAGTACGTTTTCCCGAGAAATATTGGCACGGCCGATGTGCTGTCGTCTGAATAGAAATTAATGTTACCAGTTTGCAACATATCATTCATATGCAAAAGAAACAGCCTTAGTGATAGCACGCAGCCTTCTGAAACACCAGCGTTGGTAGGCTTATAATTAGAGCATGCACCGTCTACCACAGCCTTGATGCTTCGATCACCAAGGAAACTGATGATACATTGGTGATCCAATAGCACAATTTGTCTGGCACAAAGAAGCGCTTTGTGCCAGACCCGATCGTAGGCCTTCGCTATGTTTAAACTAAAGGCCAATGCCTCCCGCTTGGACTCTGCTGCCTCCGCCCATCTATGAGTCAGGTAGATCAGAAGATCACCAGATGATTGATGTCGACGAAAACCGTATTGCCGGTCACTAATCATTTGGTGATCCTCAAGGTGGCAGTTTATAATGGACTCCATTATTTTGAAGAACAAGGAGGTGATGGCTATAGGCCTGTAATTGGGCGGGTCTGAGCGGTCACCTTTTGCCATTAATTTGGGACTACGGCTTGGGAGTAGGAGTACCGATAAAGATGCGTTAAACCAACTCTGGAGCACACGTCTTTAGCACAATGGGAGGGACTCCATCAGGTCCACTCGACATGCTGACGTCCAGGGAGAGGAATGCTTTGCAAACCGAGCGCTGTGTAAACCGCAAATCCGGCAAAGAGCACTCACACCGCGGGATGGTCGGCGGTGTGTTCTCCCCGTCATTGAGAGTCGAGTTGGACGTAAAGAGAGAGCCTAACAGATCGGCTTTCTCCTTTGCGGCATGGGCCAGTGAGTCGTTTTCCCTGTGTTATGATCTGTGCAGCGATGGAAGATATGGCTGACAGAAGTTCCCTTGGACAGCTTTGGCCAGAGACCAGAATGCACGGGTTCCCGAAGGAATGTAAACTAGCTTCTCGCCAATTCTGCTTATGTGCTCAGACCTTGACTTGGCAATGACTCTTTTAAAGAACCTGGAGGCGGAATTATACTTCTTTTTAAGAGCGCTGGTGTTTACATCCCGAGACGTTGATGCGTCAGCCCAGGCTCGGTAGCCCTCCTGCTTATAGCATGATGCACTTTTACAAGAGCGACTAAACCATGGCTGGGAACTGCCTCCGATTAGTACTACAGAGGATGGAATGAAAGTTTCATACTCTGAAGTGCCATATCAGCAACAGAGTTAGCAACAACGTTGGGATATTCCGGCGAGAAGTAAACCCATGAGTAGGATGCAAAAAAAGACCGCATCCTATCCCAGTCGGCTGACCTACAGTGCCAAAGACGGCGGTAGCCTGCAGAATGCAACCGCGACGTTAGTGTGAGTGGCATCACACTTTTACAACACCCACACGTTAGCGGTGTTTCACCCCGGTGCCTCGGAAACCACATAAAGCCGTTGGTCATGCCCCTGATCTCCCTCTGGTCGTATCGGATTGCCGTCTGATGGCTAACCTCGGTAAAGACTGGCTGGCCCCTATTTCACTGTGTTAGTAGAACCACTGTCATATGTTGCAAAAATTTTAGTTAAGACTATTATCAAGCATCAATAATTTATGTTCTTCTCAATAAGGTTTTTTTCTACCGACTTCAAAAAGGAGACGATACTCAATTCGACTGTATGTTTTTTTAAGTGTGTTACCTCAAAATTTTTTTCTAGGTGAACCGATTTCGATTATTTTTTGATAATTTAATTTCGAAAGCTGGTGCTTCTCATGTGGTCCCATATACATTTGATCAAGGTCTGACCAATAGTTTTTGAGTTATTCTTAATAGTAATTTATATTGGAGTCGGTTGTACAATTTTTTTAATTTTAAATTATTATTTAAACTTTGTGCCATTAAGATTAGAGTATGAGATGTGGGCTGACATACCCATTAGAGATAAATCCCATAAATTAATAAAAATAAAAAAGGCAGGCCCTTGTGAGCGAAAATTCGGCCAGGAGGACTGTATATTAAAATATTTTTTGTTATATTTTTTTATAGTTAATGGATAATAAACGATTATTCAGTCCACTTAAGGACTAAGACCTGATCTCCTGTTCACTACACTCACTATATGAAACACACCAGGCTTTTTAATTAAATTTAAATTACTTTGTTTAACTGCCAAAGAGTTCAGCTATTTATGAGGTTTTTAGTTAGATGGCCTGATCGAACTAGCAACGGATAACTTTAATATTCGACCCGAATCTGATGACGCTTTAACGAAATTTTAACGCAATAGAGCAAGGCTGCAGCTTTATTATGTTTGTAGCATGAATGCGTTGGCTCGACCGGGGAAGTATCACGTTCATAAGGAATACTAGCGTAAAATAGTAGCTTAATGTCTATGTTTCGTATGGAGAGTGTAGGTATACGAAAATCATTTTTTACTGGTAACGAGGTAATTTGCCTGGAAACGCGTGTATATAGTGTCTGTCACCATTATTCTGTAAAAAAGCAGGAAAAGCTGTCTTGCTAACAGTAATAATAGCATAATAGTCAATAGGTGATACTATTCGAGTGGCTATTTAAAAAAAACGCAAAAACAATTATGCCTCATAGGTTCTATTTTCACAAGCATTTGGAAAAGAGATTGAAAAATTACTTTAAAGCTCGTTGCAGTCACAGCTACATTTTCCGCAAATAGAGACGGTTCCAGCCGCTGGCACTCCGCCTCCGAATTGCACAGCACCTAGTATCGGTACGCGTCCAGCGACTGTAGTGACGCCTGCGACCGGCAGCTCGCCAGCGATATCCAAGTCACCTGTACCGGCTCCACCATAGGCCCCGACTACTTCGGTACCACTCCACCCGTAGCCGTTGCCCAAATTATTGATGATGCCAAGTCGATTTCTTCCATCACACACGCACCCAATATTGCCTGCCCCATATGCTATAGCATGACCGTTTTGATGGCATTGACCGAATACTTCCTAAAATTTTACAAACAATAATGATATTGAGTATTTTAAATCGTAACTATATAACTTTTAAATAAAGAATCTGTAGCTTACTAAACTATTTTTTTACCTGTACTACGCATGCATAGAAGCACACCAATAGCCCAAAATAGGAGAATGTAGACATGTTGGTGTGATGTTCCACCGACTAACGATTGCTACTTAGGAGTATGTATTTTTTTTTATAGGGTCGGGTGACAAACGAGCACACAGTCCACCTGATGGTAAGTGATGGTTACTGTGACCCATAGACATCTATATCTATCCTCAATAAAGACTCAAGATGCAGATGCGTTGTCACCCGTGAGGACTAAGATGGAATGCCTCTTTGCCAGTAAAAAGGGTTTTCGGTCCTCTACACTCACCATATGAAACACAGCAGCGTTAAGCTGTTATTTTACGCTGGTTTTCTGTGAGAGCGTGGTCCTTCCTCGTTCGAGCCGACCCATTCATGCTACAACCATAATATAGCTGCAGTATGGCTCTACCACGTAGTATATGCTTTTATACGAGTATTTTATTATTTATCTATGAATATGAAATTAATTTCCTATATTATTGTATAGTTACCGTATGTTTACAAATAACATTTACACAAAGATATTGTTTTTTTTTAACATATTTTTCTCCTTGCCAGCTCACGTGCGGTTATGATAAGCTGACGTGTTTTGCAAGTGTGTACTCTTGCAAGGTGTGCTGGTAGCTGATTAACGTACCATTATTTGAATATAAATGTGTGATGAAGTCTTCTAGAATCATTGCGTTTTGGTGCTTGGTGTTATAGGAAAGTAAACAGGATGTCCGCTACAATTTTAGTATTTTCTAGTGTTTTCGGTTTGTTGGCCCCGGTGAGTTCAAACCTTAATTGATCTTTACTTGTGCTGATTTCGTTGTTTTTAAACTTATCATACCTCTAGTTTTTATCAATATAAGCATTTATTATAAAATATCAGAGCATCTACGGACAATGTCTGTCGCGGTATGCAAACAACTTCGGCATTCACGGCAATGGACTAGCAATGATTGTTTGTTGCCTGCTGCTAACGCAGCTGCTGCGCTGGCTGCCGCTGACGGTGGAGGTTTTACTGTGATCAGCAGCTCACCAATAGCTCCCAACGGTGTATTCGTAGCATCGGATAATGAATATTTGGGCAGTTTGTGGGTCATCGGTCAGCTGCCATTCTTAAGCACCGCACTTCTGGATGGTGCGGTACCACTACACTGCTCTCGGCCACGGGTATGGCAACGGTTTCACCGAAGGTGGTGACAACCTATGGCGTTAATGTGATTGTGGATCACTACTTTGAAAACTGTTAAGCTCACGTTTTTCTTTGACATATATAAATAATTAAAATGAACATAAACATGTGTTTTATATTCAAAGGTCATTTTGCCTTTTAAAAAGATATTTAGTATCTAATGATTTCACTTTTAAAGTTGCACACGACAGAGGGAAACCGAAGCAGTCGATTTGCAACAACATCTTCCTTATAACAACTTAAAATAATATCACATGTTTTTATTGGACCGGACGGACCATTAATATTATTACTTATCCATGTGGAAAGGGATTACATAATTAGCAATTTTTGTCTCTAATAATTTCTCCAACACATACTATGGAGTATTTTCTTTAAAATCCCGCTTGGTTTCTTGTTAGGTCTTTCCATGACTGAGTACATTTCTAAACCAACAGTAAATTAATCCTAAAATGACTTTTTAGGTAAGTTTTGTTTATAATCCTCATTGAATGAAACGTGTTTTGTATCTTTTTTTTATAGGATAGGGTGACAAACGAACACACAGTCCACCTGATGGTAAGTGGTTGCTGTAATCCATAGACATCTACATTTATCCTCAATAAAGAAACAAAATGCAGATGCAAACAAAATACAGAAAAAATACCCATACCAACCGATATTTAAATGGTGAATCTCACCATCATCCTTCACAGTTAGCTACCGTGGGAAAATCTTTGTTTCAGAGAGCACGAGGGATCTGTGACAGAAAACATCTGGCCGCCGAGCTTCAGCACGTCGAGCAAGTACTGCAAGACAACAAGCTTCGGGTCCCGCGCCTACGTCACAGTGACCGAGTGAAGCCAGCCACAGTCGAGCGTGTGCCTGCTGTACTACCCTATGTCAGAGGAGTCACAGACAAGGTTGGCTACATCTTGAAGCGAGCTTCCATTAAAACGTACTTCAAGCCGCTGAAGAAGATTGGTCAATTTTTACCATCCGTCAAGTGTCATATTCCTCTACAAGATGCAGGAGTGTACAAGCTGGATTGTGAATGTGGTCTCTCGTACATAGGACAAACAAAAAGATCTATTAAAACCCGCGTTAAAGAACATATAGCTGACGTGAAGCACCGACGTATCGGGAAGTCTGCAGTTTGTGAACATGTTCAGGATCGTCCCCGTCATTACATTAGATTTGATAGACCACAAATCCTCGCAAAAGAACACCGATTCCTCCCAAGGATGATTCGCGAGGCTATTGAAATTAAAAAACATCCTAATTTCAATAGAGAAGATGGATGGGTTCTGCCATCTGCTTGGGATCCCATAATTAATAAAATCAAATCCAAACCCAAGTATACCACTGCTAGACTTCAAGATACTGTAAGCTCATTCTGCGTAAATCGAACCGAAAATTAATATTAAAAAACTGAAGGTAGCCGGGCTAACTATGACAGTAGGACGTCAAACAACTCAGTCCCCCGTGACCACGGGTGCTGGAAAGCACCCGAAACGTCGGGAATATAAAAATAAGTTAAAAATAAGTTAATATACGCGATAAAATCCGTAAAATTAGTTTTATTTAAAAATGCAGATGCGTCGTCACTCGTGTGTCATCGTCTCTTTTCCAGTAAAATGGGACTCCGGTTCTCTACACTCACCATACGAAACACAGCAGTGTCAAGCTGCCATTTTACGCTGGTATTCTGTGGGAGCGTGGACCTTCCCCGGTCGAGCCGATCAATTCGTGCTATAACTATCTATATTTATCTCTGCTGAGTTCCTTCCTGCATAAATACGCTGAATAAAAGTTGCGATTTAAAAATATAACAACGTTCTATAATTTGATTAAGAGTTAATCTTCTGTTGAATGCCTTTTCAATTTCAATTTATTTGACAATAATTTAGGATTTAAAAGTTGCTTCTTGCATCTACGTTTATTTTGAGACATGCCTTCAGTTGTTTTGTGGAGTTGTTGGATTGCGAGATCAAAATACTTAGGTACTGCGCTATTATTTTCCGTTACAGTTAATAGATCGTGAAGGAATGCTTGTTTTTGAGCTTACACTGGTGCTGCGATAATTTATAAGTTTAACATCGTTTTTTAGTAATGTAGATGACCTACAATTTTATGTACAGTCTGACATTTGTGACATCCATAATGCGATTAACAAATTAAATTCCAATCTCAAGTCAGTCCGTGATTGGTCCATGCGCTTTGGGAGTGTCCGTCAACCCTACGAAATGCCAAGCGGTGATTACGGGTAGCTCAAGGATGCTTGCAAAAATAGATGCCGCTAGCCTACCTCCCGTCTATTATAATGATCGCCTGATACCGTTGTCTTCCTCAGTTAAAAATCTTGATCTCCATATTGATAGTACTCTGTCCTGGCGGGTTCATATCTCCAAAACATGTCGTAAAGTCTATGGTTCTTTACGTTCTCTTTATCTTAGTCTATAAAGCTAAAATTATGCTTGTACAGTTACTTATACTACCGATCATTGATTATGCTGACGTGTTTTACTCGGATTTAAACCAAAGACTTCTTAACAAGCTAGAGCGCCTACTCAACAATTGCGTCAGATACATTTCCAATCTTCGTAAATTTGATCATATCTCTCACTATCGCTCTCGCCTTAAATGGCTCACTATTAAACAGAGGCGTGACTCTAGAATTTTGCTTGTTCTCTTTTCTATCTTAAATGATCCATCCACTCCTTCTTATCTCAAGGAGAAATTTTAATATATTTCCTCAACGCATGGTAGAACTCTGCGGTCCTCATATAATAATAAACTAAGTATCCCACTACATTTTACTAATTTTGTTGGTAAATCCTTCACCATTCAGGCTGCACTGCTCTGGAACTCTTTGTCCGATGACGTCAGAAAAACATTTAATAACACTGCCTTTAAAAGATTGGTACATGAGCACTTTAATGATAGTTAATATGGTCAATTTGGTTACCTTTGTTGTTATTTTATTTATAGGTTTATGTTATATATCCATTTGTATTTATAATATGTATATATTTATGTATCTATGTATTTGTATGTAAATATAATATATTGTCTGTATTATATTGTATAGTATATAAGTTTATTGTATTTATATATATAATATTAGTTTATTTTTAAGTTTATCAGTAGTTTTTTTCCTGGATTTACTTTTTTGTGCATGGTAAAAAAGTAAATAAATTAGTAAATAAAACAAATAACAATATTTACTGTATACTATATATATGCAAACACTACATCTCTCTCTTATCAAGATTCTTTTCTGTTTTTATTATAACTCATAAATATCACAAAGCAGCTTATATTGCCTGTATTAATTATTACATATTTTCGTCTTCTTTATCCTGTTCTAGATTTTGTTCTTATTCATTCTGATCGGGTGGAACAGCCGTCCAATCGCCTCCTACTTTCTTCAAATGTATCACATTTCTCCTAAACTTTTGGTTCATTTCACTATTGCGTACTGTGCAGTCACCGTCTCGTGCACTCTCTACGACGTGTGGCGTCGGTTTATAATTTGTTGTAAGATTATTCGATTTTTCCACTGCTTTTACGTAAACCTTATCTCCCTGTATTATATCTGAGTGAGTTGCTCTGCGTTTCCTATCTACATACTCTTTTCCTTTTTCTTTTTGTATTTTGCCTCTATCCCTGATATCTGAATCTAAATGATTGTCTGTAATTTATTTCACCTTTTGATGGAATTTTATCCCTACTTTTTCGTTGAAAAAACAGTTCAGACGGTAACCTCTCGGTAACTGTAAGGAGGGGTGCTGTTATACATTAGAAGATACTCCCACAAAAATTCTTTTAAATCCTTCCTCTCGATCTGGCTGATACGAAGACGTTTCAAAATATCTCTGTTTTGTCT